TCCGTCATGTTTGCCTATCCGGAATATACTAGTCTAGACTATTCCTCTTCCTTCGTGATTTCACCGAGAGCAGACGTGCGCGAGCGTGTGTCAATAAGGCTCATAATAGTTAAAAATTATCAATAATATTAAGTGCATTTGACTATTCAACACCAGCGACCGGCTGCGGTGGGGAACGTGCGAGTAAGATAATAGACTTAATAATTGCCTTCTCGTTCCTGCATCGCATCTTTGCTCACTGACGCAGCAAGCGGTGACAAAAAAAGACGGATGGTATTTGTATTTTCTTTCCTTTCCTTTCCTCCCTGCATGATCTTTGTAACTACGTCAAACGCCGTAGACACTTCTACTACGTTCGCTACGAAATACATGCTACGAGATCACGACATTAGTTGAAGCATACCTACCAACTGCCAACACGCTTACTACAAGTGACGCCGTAACTCTCGACTATAAAATATAACCTGTCAATTTGTTCTACACTTTGTTGAGCTGGAAATAAGTTTGAGGCTGTACGAGAACTCTGAAAATGTTTCGAACATCGGAAAAATGCAATTCTGATTCCAACCTGCCTAGCGTCTCCGACGACAAAGAAACGTCGCCTCCCAGTTTTGTTAGCTCACGAATTAAGAGAAAGCGCTCCGAAGAAATTCTGATCGATTTAGCGGATTTTAAAACAGAAATGAAGGACATGATTACTTCATGGATGGATCAGCAAAACAGCGAAAGAACAGAAGTAACATCTGCGTTGAGATCCATAGAGGAATCACTGACTTTTCTCTCAACCAAATACGACGACATGTGTAAAAAAGTGGACCTTATGGAGCAAGAGAGGCACAAACAGAAGGAACATATTACTATACTTGAAAATAATGTGGAAAATCTCATGAAAGCCCAACGTAAATGTTCATTTGAACTGAAAAATGTCCCAAGATCGGAAAATGAATCCAAAGAAACGTTGTTGAGCATGGTAAGTAATTTATCTACATCACTTAAGGTCAATATACAAAGTAATGACATAAAGAATATATATAGGACGACCATAAAGGGTGATAAAAAGCCTATTGTTGTCGAAATGTCAACTTACGTCCAGAAAATTAACATTACAAGCGCTGCTAAAAAGTACAATAACCATAATAAGAATAATAAATTAAATACCCAGAACCTAGGTCTAAAGGGAACATGTACCCCTATTTTTATCTCTGACCATCTCACACCTAATAGTAATAAACTGTACTACTTAGCGAGGGAATTGTCAAAAAATCTGAAGTATAAATACTGCTGGACCTCGGTAGGTGAAGTCCTGGTGCGGAAAGATGACTCATCCCCGATCATAAAAATTATGAATGAAGCACAAATAAAAGGCATTTATGAGGCCAACAAATGACTATGCATGAACTGTGTACTTAGTTTCAAGTGGATCCATGTCTTGCAAAGTGTTCAAGCAATTGATATAGGTTATACACATAACTTTTTAATTGTACGTTGTACCTATGTTCTGTTAACTCTGTTTATGCCAGTAAAATATTCATAACTTACACACTTTTCTTGTCACACATTTACCTTAATACTTACTCCAAAACACAAACACAAATTCCACTCACACACCTCTTTACAAAAGTTCTGTTTTCGCTAGCTAAACATAACACCTTGCATTCACACTGTAGATTAATTGCAATAATTAACTTTGATCTGAGAGTTTGGAATAACCAATGTAGGAATATTATTTTTCACTTTTATTCTTTCGTGGTAATCAACTGTCTAGAACTCCTTTATGCAAATAATTTTAAATTAATACCTATTAGACAAATTTACTGCACACAAAAACTTCCTAATTTTCATGGATAATTTGTCCCATCCATAGAATGATATAGACAATATTAGTATAGCTCAGGCCGTCACTTGCACGCCTGAAGAGTGTTATTTACACGTCTCAACAAAAAGTCACCTAACCATTCTTACCCAAAACATAAGGAGTATATACAAAAATCTTGATATTTTTCAAGCTATGCTCCACTCAACTAAAACCGACTGCGACGTACTAGTTATGACTGAATGTCACCTCTCAAAAAAAAAAGTATTCCTAACCTAAATGATAATTATAACACACACTACAAAAAATACCTTAAACCAATGTGATGGCGTAGTATTTTATGTAAAAAAGAATCTAAACATCAATGTATTTGAACCGTATATTACAAACGCTTCCTACCTTGTTTTATCTCTTTACGATACTGTCATAATCGGCATTTATCGCACTCCATCTATTAGAAATACTGACGAATTTGTATCATCCCTTCAATCTCTTCTTATACAATATAATTGCTATCCGAATATTATTATAACGGGTGACATAAACATCGACATCAAAATCGACTCCAAAGATCCAAACTGTCATAACTATTTAACATCACTTGCTTATTATGGGATACTCCCAGCTCATAGGCTCCCAACTCGTGATAAAATGAGCTATGATCACATGATGCTGAAAACGTCTCACCCTGCTAAATCACTTGTTCTTACTAACCCTACCACTGACCACAGTACAGTCATTCTTGACCTGATGTTTGAACCTCTGCGATGCAATCTGGCTCTAAAAACCAAAATTTCAATCAATTTTGATGCCACTTTGAATGACATTAAGGCGGACTTACCTGATATATTAACAATAACAGACCCTTCTGAAGCTGCCCAGGTTTTGGTTTGTAAAATCTCCACTGCGATTAAAAACAACCAAACTATAAAAAGTGTCCCTTCAAGAAAAAGACATATCAAGCTCTGGATAACCATAGGAGTTTTACGTTGCCTTCGCAATCGCGACAAACTTCATTTAAAATTAAAAAACAATCCGTATAACGAAATATTGAAAGTAACCTATAAACGTTATAGAAATTATTGTAGTAAACTTGTTCGTAAACTTAAAATAATGCACGAAAGAAACAATTTAACTAAAGCTAATAAAAATCCTAAATTACTGTGGAAAACAATAAAATCTATATGTAACATAAACACTAATAAAAATGACTATATACATAATCTACTCTCACTTAAATCCACACCGTTGGAAGCAGCAAATTGTGCTAATAATTACTTCTCTAACTTAGGTAAACATCTGGCTGAAAACTTATTACCGTCCCCCATGTCCTATAATTCTATTCGTAGCATAAATAACATTAATAGTCCCTCTTCATCCAATTCTTTCGTTCTTTTAGCAACAGATTCAGTAGAAATTAATACAATCATCTGTAACTTATCTAACGACTCCGCCCCCGGGTGGGATAACATTCCTACTGCTTTTATTAAAATGGCCAAAAATTATCTTATCCCTGTCCTTTGTCATCTGTATAACCTCTGTTTCGAAAAAGGCTGTTTCCCCTCTGTTTTCAAAGAAGCTATTGTAACACCCATCTACAAAAATGGAAATAAAGATGAAATTGAAAATTATAGGCCTATCTCTGTACTTCCAGTTCTGGCAATAATTTTGGAAAAGCTTATTAATAACCGCATTAAAAAATTCCTTTACAAAAACAGCCTGCTATCAAATAATCAATTTGGCTTTAGAAATGGCGTGTCCACTGAAGACGCAGTTCTGGCACTTTCCGACACTATCTGTAAGCACCTAGATGCAGGCAATAAATGTGTCGGCGTCTTCCTTGATCTGGCAAAGGCGTTCGACTCCGTTTCAATTCCAATATTATTACATAAGCTATATCACATTGGCATAAGAGGTACACCCCATAAGCTATTCACAGACTACCTAACGAATCGCCTACAACATCTAAAACTTGGTGACGTTATCAGCCAGTCATCTCCCATTAATTACGGCGTTCCACAAGGCAGTGTGCTCGGACCGACATTGTTTTTGATATATGTGAATGACCTCTGTAGCCTCAAGCTTCCTAATTGTGATATATTTACATATGCGGATGACACCGCCCTGATTTTCAGTGAAAAGAGTTGGGATTCTCTTAGAATTACGACTGAATCAGGATTACAGCATATATCAAATTACTTAAGATCACATCTATTAACTCTTAATGTATCAAAAACCCAATTTGTTCCTTTTGTAATACAAAAATCTTCCTTACCACACTCGGACTTTGCTCTTAAAATTCATAGCTGCTCCCAACACCAGGTGAAAAATTGTCAATGTGTTGATATTGCTAGATCGTCTACTATCAAATATCTAGGTATCACTATCGACCAGCATCTTATATGGAACAAACAAATTGAGTGTACCATTGACAAGATAAGAAAGCTTATGTGGATTTTTAGAAGGCTCAGACATGTCGCAGATAATAAAATTCTTATATGTACGTATAAAGCTCTAGCCCAATCTGTCTTAAGCTACTGCATTACAGCATGGGGTGGAGCAGCTAAGTCCTATTTAATAACTCTTGAAAGGGCTCAGAGAGCATTACTGAAGGTGATGTTCTTTAAACCAACGTACATTTTAAAGAGTGTTATACGAATCCACAGCACTTTACCATACACTGCCCTTCAGACACTAAAACGTAGAATTCTACCTGTTTTCAATATTCCATATTGTAAAACCAAATTTAAGAAAAAACAATTTGCCTGTAAATCAAAATATCTATATAATAAATTAAATAGTAGGCTAAATATGTATCCCCTCACTTGTGTTAAATTGAAAAATTTGTTATATAGAATATATAGGAAGTGTACATAATTCCTAAATTTCATGCATTTCCGGTAACATAATAAGAAACATGTACATATAATTAGTTAAGGTCACACGGAAAGTCTCAGATACATCGTCAATATGGCCACACTACTTCAGTGCGATTTCTTTTAAACAAAAACAATAAAATTGTTCAAACTTAATTAAATTCAATGTAAAACTATTTGATTTTGACAAAGTTATAATTTACTAATATGTTTAAAACACTGATAAAACATTTCAGCAAAAAATTAAGTGAAAATACAAAAAAGTATGTTTACAAGTATTCAATGCAAGAAGTCACTAATTAAACACTTACGTGTGAAATCTTATATTACCTCCTGGACACCAACTACTGCCGCAACCACGTACTACACAAGTTTGCACCATTTCTTGAATTATAACAATAATTAACTTTAAATATCTCAAACGACGCTGTGAACTGCTAAGTAAACAACCGCCATATTTGTCTAATTTATTTTGACATATAGGGCTAATGTTGCCACATTACCGAACCCTTAGGAAATGGGATTGTAATTCACTGATTCGTTAACCCAATAATGCATACAAGACCTTCAATTTTGGAATTTTTAATGTAACTAATCGTAGATCAACTATTTATTTATTGGTACATTATTTTACAGAGCTTAACTTCTGATTTAGTTAGTGTGGAAATTATTTCTAAGAATTTACCAGGAGATTCAAATAAAAACATAGCAATATTGTGTTCCACACTAAAAAGAGAAGTCAGACCACAGAGAGTGAGATAAAGATACGTAGGTATTTGACTCAAGCTGTTGTTCCAAGTGTGGCCTCCATCTTTATTTATAACTTCATGGTTGAGTCATTTAGACTGGTATATAGTTATACAGTAATCTGTGGCTGTCAACTGTCATATATCATCTTGCTATGGGAGTTTTGCACAGAGTACTTTTTTATATAGGATTTTTTTATATGGGAGTGATATAAGAAACTATTTTTCTTATATCAATGAGAAAAACAGAAAATTAATTCTACTTACATATGTATTGCATATTAATTTATGAATTGTGATTAAAGCTATTGGAAATAGAAATGGCCTATTTTAGTGAAATTTGTAGAATCTGTTTATGCGATAATGTACGCATGTATGTACTAAAGAAGACTGGTCTCGAAAATTTGTACAAAACATTGACGAATAATTTTGTAAGTTTGTAAAAATATTTCTTAACATTGCAAATTGAATGTACCTCGTCGAGAAATACTTTAAAAAGGGGTTATCGCTGGAGAAATACCTTATAACATTTATAGTGTATATAACATAAATAGTATATATATACTATATACTATATAGTGACAAATACAACCAAAACCTGAAAATCAACAACTAGCCTGAATCCTGGGTCGCACTAAAATCAGTATTATCATTGAAGTAACCGCGGGCTCAAAATTACCGAGTCTGCGCCATAAAAAGGAACCTTGTGCATCCTTCTACGCGACCCGTACTACTGCATAGATTTATTCGCGGTGTCTGTTATTTTCCGTCAAAAAATTAATATCCACCCTAGTTTGCTCTTTCACCCACTTAAAGCTGTTCTATGGACTATTAAAGTGGGAGATTAGAGTGCACATGTGCTTACAGACAGAAATTCCCTCACTCTCATGTTTCTCATATTCCTATCAGACTGAGAAATCGGAGAAGGGAATAATGTGCACATGTGCTTGCTAACACACATGCAATATAATCCTGTCCTGCACTGATGAATAGTCTCCATTGTGACCAAAATTCTGCCTGTATGACATATTATCATTATTTTATAAGTGGTAGAGCCATGCTGCAGCTATATTATGGTTGTATCAAAGATGGTTCAGCTAGACCGGGGTGCTACCACATTCACAGATTACTAGAGTTAAATAGCAGCTTAATTCTGCTCTGTTTTATATGGTGAGTGTAGAGCATCGGAGACACTTTTTACTAGAGGTGAGGCATTCAGTCTTGGTCTCAGGGGTGACAACGCATCTGCGTTTTGATTCTTAACTGGGGATAAATGTGGAGGTATACAGGCCATAGCGAACGACAAATCATACAGTCCATCTGATGGTAAGTAAATGCACTTACCATCAGGTGGACAGTTCTATTTGTTGTCATCCTTGTGTAAGAAATTATTGAGTCAGCCAGCAGTTGATACAGTTGATATAACTCTGTATCCTGGTTTCAAATCATGTTGTACAATTAGTTTATGATTTGTACTAATATTACTTTTGATAGCAGCCTGTTCCATACTTTAACCACACAATAGCTAAAGTAGGCGAGTTATTAGGTGACTCAGCTTTAGTCAATTTGAAGTGATGCCACTAAGTTGTGTGTTGTTTGAGTACTGGAATAATAAAGTTTATCGAAATTTTCTATATCATGGTGTTTGTATATTATTTTATATGTGTCAATCAAGTCTCCTCATTCTCTGTCATCTTTCAGACTGTCTTCATATAGTATGTTTTCAATTATGTATAAACATGAATATCTGTGTTGAAGCTTCTTCAGCAATTCAATATAATTTAGAATGTATATTCTAAAATAGGTCGAAAATTTGTTTTATATATTTTTAGTATCATTTCTGGTATTATTATTATTATTTACCATAGTTGCCACGCTAGCTGGCTGGTTGTCAACTGCAGTTTTTTTATTAGTCTGACTTGTTATGAGTAAAATGCTGCTGCCCATATCCTTATGAGATAAAATAATCTAATTGTTAGATGACAAAACCGACCTGGAACTTACTTCATACTGTAATTGATAATAAATTAAAAAGGTTAAAACTGCTAGGGGATGTATGTATATTGTTATTAACTTACATTTGAAACTAAGTGACAGTGTCCTAATAGTGTGTGAAGCATTACATCTTAGTCCTCAGAGGTAACATCGCATCTGTAGCCTTTGCTTGAAGTTCGTTGCAGGTGCCTGTGGTCTGCAGCAGCCACTTACCTTTGGGTCGATTGTAAGTTTATTTATCACTTCAGTATTGTAAAAAATTTGATGATGATGAAGAGAATTGTAGTAACCAATAGATTTTATTACAAACTTGTATATTTAAGTAGTTTTCCATATTTATGACGAACTTTCATATTTTCAGATGGACGAGGATGAGGAGCCCATAATTATCTGTTTCACCTGTCATGCAAGACTCATTCGTTGCAGAACATTACAACAACAGGCTATTGAGTCAAATGCAATTCTGGAGCAGTTGCTTGCAGGAGGGTCCATGGTATTATCCGTTCCATCCATTAAACCTATAAAAGTCCCTCATAGATTGCCTCATATACGAGGGGTTTTGCCATATTTGCTACGCTTGGCAGGTTGGTAACCATAGTTTATATTATTCTGAGTTGTTAGGAAAATGCTGCCTCTCAACTCCTGTTTCTGTTTCCCTCTGTCGCTTCTTACGACACCCTTCCCGTGGGTAGGTATATAGGCTAGTGGATATTCTTACACCGCCACTACATGGTCCACGGTATTATACCTGTTATTAATAAAAGTTCACTGCTTGATGGGTCACTACCATTATAATGAAGTAGTTGCCTTAATCATCACTTGGCAGGCACCTTGATGATCACTACCTGTCTCATGCCTTCTATGCTACTTCCCGTTGCCATATGGGAGAATGTTTTTTCTACTGCAAAGTTAAGTTTATCCTTCAATTCAACTTACTTTTTTGTTAGAGCAATATCCTATATTTTATGAATTACAGTAAGTTAAGTACTTATTTTTACAAAAATAATTAGCTAACTGTTTATGCTGTTATATATTACTCTATTGTATATAAACGAAATATTATCTATATGTAATATTACTCAGTAAACAAAGATAGATCATTGTCAATTTACGGCATTCATGAATCTGATTGGATAAATTATTGAGTCTCTATACTCGGGATGGATGAACTATATACATTCTTTTTTTATTTTTTATTCTATCATTTACTTTGTCCGGTTTTTATTACTACTTGTAGTTGTTGTCAGGAAGATGCTGCTGCCCATCTCCTGTTTCAGTTTCCCTCTGTCCCTTTTTACGACATCTGCGGGATGATATGGTAGTATGGAGTCTCCTGCGGCACCACTATGCTGGCTTTTTCTCTTATTTCACAAAAGAATTTGGTTTCAGTCAATACCAAATCATCATGAGGCTAGAGATAAGATTCAATTCACACCAATTAGTCATATAGATATCAGGCCAGCAGAGTGTGATGTAGAAAATAATTGTAAGGACGATATGTTTAGCCTTGATTTTGTTAAAGTTGAGGAAGAGAATTTCGAAATTGAGAATTCCACATTTGAAGAAAATTGGAATCATGAAATAGGTAAGATATACACATTTTGTAATATTAATAAAATAAGCTACAAGTTACCTAATGGCAAGTGGTTAGTGTAGCCCATGGACACAAAATTATATTATAGTGACATATTGGGGCGGATTAAGCCGTATGTTCCAGACGCGTACCAATGTTGAGTAAGACAAGGCGCTTTTAACACAAACGTTACGCATTCTTAATAGAATGGCTGATGACAGTGATCTATTCTGTTGCACCTTGAGTGAATACACTAGGGTAGGATTGTTTACAATTGTTTACAGTTAATGACCACACTCCAACTCGTCTCATCGTCTTTTTCTTTGATAGCTTCCTGCAATCTTCTTATTTGGCCTGGGTAGTCGAGACTATAAGCCGGAAATAATGGCTCCCTTTTCCAAATATTCCACCATAATTATTCCTTCAAAAACGTACGCCATAACCTTTCCCGCCGAACTTGGCACTTTGAATTTCCTTGGTGTCTGGAGGAGGCTCGGTTCTAAACCATTGATTGTTGTTTGGTTTCAGGATCGAAATGGTAGATCCAGGTCTCGCCCATGGTCACGAAACGTAATAAAAAAAATCTAATCTGCTTGGAACCTTTCGAGATTAACCCTCGATATGTCGACAAATTTTTTCTTTTGCTCGTCGGTTAACATTCTCGGTACCCAATGCGCAATTAGTTCGCAACGTTTCTTTGACCACTGTCACATGAGATCCCTGTGACGTCAGCTATATGCCTGATGGTCACTCTTCGATCTACCAATACGATGTCTTCAACTCTTTTCACTTTATCTTCAGTGAGGGATGTGAATGGGCGTTCATCTTCCGTGGATGTTCTGCCCAGCTAAAACTCCTCAGCCTAGCGTGCAACTGTGGAATATAGAGGAGCAAGAGTCCCTCTAATGTTTTACCAAGTCGTTGTGTATATCTTTGGTAGACATTTTTTAAACAGAGAGAGCTCTCATTAAATTTTTCTCCATTTTCATGTTATCTCTTTGATGATTCGTATTCAAATGAATGTACCTCTCGAGAATTGTAGCCTATTTATTTAGACGTTTGGCGCGTAAAAATTAGAATGGCCTAGCACTTGACTTGACGGGTTAGCAAAAATAAATATTTAAGGTTAACTGAGAGGTGTAGCCTAATGCTATACTATTCCTCATGAAAAAACCCTTCCACTTTATTATATTAGTATAGATTACAAAGTTATAATGCAGTTGTTGTGTTATGTTCTTGTTATTTTTATGTTTATGTCATATTCTCTTACTCTTTAGGTGTTTTTTTTTTATAGGAGAGGGGGCAAACGAGCATGCGGCTCACCTGATGGTAAGTGACTACCGCCGCCCATGAACAACTGCAACACCAGGGGAATCGCAGATGCGTTGCCGGCCTTTTAAAAAGGAGTACGCTCTTTTCTTGAAGGTCCCTAAGTCGTATCGGTCCGGAAAAATCGCTGATGGTAATCGATTCCACAAGGAGGTCGTGCGAGGAAGAAAACATCTTCTAAATCGCACAGTGGTGGACCGCCAATCATCCAGATGGTGTGGATGGTATCGGGAGTTCTGCCGCGATGTGCGTTCGTGAAATTTGGCGGCTGGGATTAATCCGAACAATTCCTCAGAGCACTCCCCATGGTAGATGCGAAAGAAAATGCAAAGGGATGCAACATCTCTTCGCAGTGCCAATGAATCGAGCCGATCGGAAAGGGCTCGGTCGTCGACAATTCGAGCCGCTCTGCGTTGGATGCGGTCAAGTGGAAGGAGCTGGCACTGGGGAGCCCCTGCCCAGAGATGGGAACAGTATTCCATGTGAGGCCGAACTTGCGCCTTGTAAAGTAGCAGGCGGTGTGCCGGCATGAAATACTGTCCCGCTCTGCTGAGCACGCCAAGCTTTTTAGAGGCCAATTTGGCCTTCCCTTCCAAGTGACCACGAAACTGCACGTCACTCGATATGTCGACTCCGAGGATACCGATACTGGCTGAGGCAAGAAGGGGAGTGCCTTGAAACTGAGGAGATACGACAAAGGGGTTCTTTTTAGCGGTAAACGCGCAAACTTGTGTCTTCTGAGGATTAAATTGGACTAGATTTAGTCGCCCCCAATCCGAGACTTTGTTCAGCAAAGACTCGACTTCAGACACAAGTTTGTTCCGGTACTCAGCGACGTTTTCCCGAGAAATATTGGCACGGCCGGTGTATAGAGCATCACCAGTGCTGTCATCCGCATAGCAATGAATGTTACCAGTTAGCAACATATCATTGATATGCAGAAGAAACAGCGTTGGTGATAGCACACAGCCTTGTGGAACACCAGCGTTAATAGGCTTGTAGTCAGAGCATGCACCGTCTACAACGACCTTGATGCTCCGATCTGCAAGGAAGCTGGTGATCCAATTGCACAATTTCTCGGGAAGCCCATAGGAAGGGAGCTTCGAAAGAAGCGCTTTGTGCCAAACCCGATCGAAGGCCTTCGCAATGTCCAGACTAACGGTCAACGCCTCCCCCTTGGACTCTACTGCCTCCGCCCATCTATGGGTCAGGTAGACCAGAAGATCACCAGCTGATCGACCCCGACGAAAACCGTATTGGCGGTCACTAATCAGCTGGTGATCCTCAAGGTACCGGATGAGCTGGCAGTTAATAATGGATTCCATTATTTTGGAGAACAAGGAGGTGATCGCGATAGGCCTATAGTTGGATGGGTCTGAGCGGTCGCCTTTTTTAGGGATCGGGTGGACAAAAGCTGTCTTCCATGAATTCGGGACTACGCCTTGAGAGTAGGAGTACCGGAAAAGACGCGTTAGGACCGGTGCCAACTCCGGAGCACACGTCCTCAGCACAATTGGAGGGATTCCGTCAGGCCCACTCGACTTCTGGATGTCCAGGGAGAGCAGTGCTTTGCGAACCGAACGCTGTGAGAACAGCACATCCGGCATGGAGCACTCACACCGCGGGATGGTCGGCGGTGTTTTCCCCCCGTCATCAAGAGTCGAGTTGGACGCAAAAAGGGAGCCTAAAAGGTCGGCTTTGTCTTTTGCGTCATGGGCCAGTGAGTCATCCTCCCTGTGCAGAGATGGTAGTGATGGCTTACAGAAATTCCCTTGGACAGCCTTGGCGAGAGACCAGAATGCACGGGTTCCCGAAGGAAGGCGAACTAGTTTCTCGCCAATTCTGCCTATGTGCTCTGACTTTTCTTTTTTGCAAGCTTATGGAAGACAGCCTTAGTGCATTCGATTCCTAAAAAAGGCTGCGACCTATCCAAATACTGGCCTATCGCCGTCACCTCCTTGTTCTCCAAAATCATGGAATCCATTATTACCTGCCAGCTCACGCGGTACTTTGAAAAGCATAAGCTGATTAGTGACCTTCAATACGGTTTCCATCGAAGCTGTTGGGATCAATAGAACGGAAACGGCGTGTATGTATGTATACATACATACAAAAGACATACATACCTACTTACAAAATTAACTATTTTATTGGTGCCAATGGAGGGGGGACCTGGGTTGCTAGCGTACTGTGAAATTTTACGGCAAACAAAAAAGCCTCCGAGCTACCAGGGCTTTTTATGAATCTTTGTATGGCCTGTAAATAATTCCTCTATCTTAATCTTCCCGTAAACTTCCTCTGCTGAACAGGGAAGAATCTCTCCCAATGTAGGGAGAATTTGCCTTGAGCGTCACGCTTGGCATAGGACTGACAATCGCAGAACCAGACGTGAGCACCTCTGGCAATGTCGCTTGGCGCCGGTCTCGATATTTTATATCTGAAATAAACGAGCTGGTTATACCGGCGTCTGCCGGAAGCCATCAGATTTTTCTGGCAAACCCAAAGTTGCCTCTTACGAAACCCACGGGACAACATGTAATGATAAATTCTCTTATAATTTCCTTTACACGCAAACTTCGACTGTACTGTATGTATAACACTAGTTCTGTGTGGAATTCGAAACAGCGATTATTAGATTAATGTAATTATAACATGGTCAGAAGAACCATTCTTTCCCACCAAAAAAGAAAATGAGAGACATTATTCGGAGTAATTGGCTAAAATACTTTATATTTGGCAACAATCTAGCAACATTATTTAGTATAATTATGCCCATTGTAAACCGTTTAAGGTGTCTTGCAATAAAGATGCAATAACATACAATAAATAAAAAGTTTAACTACGACAAATAATTTTTCAGAAACTTCTGAAAAGAAGATTAAATCAAATTCTACTGATTGTAACATAAACGATGTTCGTGAAGAAAACCTCGATTTTGAAGGCCCTACTATTAAATCAAACCCTAAAATGAAAAAACATAATCAACCAATTAATAAAAAAGAAAAGCATCCTGCAAAAATAATGAAAAAGAAAATTTTAAAACAAAAGAGTGTAAATTTACTTAAGAAAAAGACATCTGGGACATCAACTAAATACATTTTTGAATGTGATGGTTGTAGTAAAACATTTTCAACAAAAGACATTCTCGCCAAACACATTTCATACAGTCATAAGACACAAAAGAACTCAGACACCACTGCAGTGCGGACACAAGTAGAACTAACTCCAGTACCACAACAAACAGAAAAATTTAATTGTGATATTTGCGAATTTAAAACATCTCAAAAACGTTGCATTTTGTCACATCTTAAAGCGCACGTCGCTAAACAAATGTACTGTTGTAATAATTGTGAATATAAATGTATTAGAAAAAGAGATTTGCAAAAACATATGAAAATACACACCGGTGAAAAACCTTTTTCGTGTAATATCTGTGAATATAGATGTATTACAAAAAGTAATTTGCAAACCCATATGAAAATACACACTGGTGAAAAACCTTTTTCGTGTAAAATCTGTGAACATAGATGTGTTACAAAGAGTCGTTTGCAAATACATATTATGAAAATACACAGCGGTGAAAAACCTTTTTCGTGTAATATCTGTGAATATAGCTGTATTAGAAAAAGTGCTTTGCAAGTACATATGAAAATACACAGCGGTGAAAAACCTTTTTCGTGTAATATCTGTGAATATAGATGTATTAGAAAAAATAGTTTGCAAGAACATATGAAAATACACAGCGGTGAAAAACCTTTTTCGTGTAATATCTGTGAACATAGATTTATTAGAAAATGTGATTTGCAAACCCATATGAAAATACACACCGTTGAAAAACCTTTTTCGTGTAATATCTGTGAATATAGATGTATTAGAAAAAATAGTTTGCAAGAACATATGAAAATACACAGCGGTGAAAAACCTTTTTCGTGTAATATCTGTGAACATAGATTTATTAGAAAATGTGATTTGCAAACCCATATGAAAATACACACCGGTGAAAAACCTTTTTCGTGTAATATCTGTGAATATAGATGTATTAGAAAAAATAGTTTGCAAGAACATATGAAAATACACAGCGGTGAAAAACCTTTTTCGTGTAATATCTGTGAATATAGATGTATTAAAAAAAGTCGTTTGCAAGAACATATGAAAATACACACCGGTGAAAAACCTTTTGCGTGTAATATTTGTGAATATAGGTGTATTAGAAAAACTGATTTGCAAACCCATATGAAAATACACACCGGTGAAAAACCTTTTTCGTGTAATATCTGTGAATATAGATGTATTACAAAAAGTAATTATCAAAAACATATGAAAATACATACTGGAGAAAAACCTTTTTCGTGTAATATCTGTGAATATAGATGTATTACAAAAAGTCATTTGCAAACCCATATGAAAATACATACTGGACAAAAACCGTTTTCGTGTAATATCTGTGAATATAGATGTATTACAAAAAGTCATTTGCAAACCCATATGAAAATACATACTGGAGAAAAACCTTTTTCGTGTTATATCTGTGAATATAGATGTATTTCAAAAGTTTCTTTGCAAACACATATGAAAGTACACACAGGAGAAAAACCTTTTTCGTGTAATATCTGTGAATTTATATGTAGAACAAAAAGTAATTTGCAAAAACATATGAAAATACACACCGGAAAATACCTTAATTGAGGATAAGGATTCCTAATAGATGTCCATGGGCCACAGCTGCACAGCATTCACTTACCATCAGTTGGACTGGGTGCTCGTATGTCACCCTTATTCAATTTAACAAATCATTGAATATCTCAGATCAACACCGGTTTGAAACCATTCAAGTGTGAGGTATGCGATAAATTATATTAGGTTCTTACATATGAAATTAGGGGGTGCTAAGAAACTCCGGTGGAGGTTCGGTTGCCATCTACGACGACTCGACCTGGCAACTTATAACGCACGCACCCTGAGGACTGACGAGAAGATCCCGGAGCTGGAAGAATAGATAGGCAAGTTGCGCTGGAATGTCATAGGATTATCCGAAGTCCGAAGAGAGGTGGAGAACACGGTAATCCTCGAATCCGACAATTTGTTCTATCACCGGGAGGGTGACCATCTGTCCCAAGGAGGTGTTGGATTTATCGTCCAAAGTCACTCGTTAACAACGTTGTAAAGATTGGGAGTGTGTCGACGAGGGTTGCGTACCTTATACTCAGAATCACCAAACGGTATTCGCTGAAGGTCATACAGGTATACGCACCAACCTCGGCACACCCCGATGAGGAGGTGGAGGAAATGTATGAGGATATCTCTAGAGCCATGCATTCCTCCAGAACCCACTATACGGTGTTAATGGGAGACTTCAACGCAAAACTAGGCACAATTATTGTAAAAAAAGACAGCATTTGGATCTCACCTACTGTATTCCAGAAGTTGTAGAGAACCCCTTTAAGGCTTCAAATACTGATAACACTGGTAAGTTTCCCTTCAACTCTTTCTAATAATTTTATAAAGAGTTATTAAATATTCTCATGATGTACAACAATCTATTAAATTGCTTATTTAGCATCCATAATCTGTGTTTCTGTCTATGTTTCAATATTACCATCATACAGTTGTAGCACAATTTGATGTTATCACATGCATAAGGGTTTTGGTTGTGGTGCTACTTATTTAGGGCTATGAATTTTTCATTGGGGTGTATAATAGATTCCTTCGAATCCTTATAATCTACATCTCAACTTTTTAACAATTTCCCTAATAATGCTGTAAAAAAGTAACTTAATACTGTTTAGAACTTAAATGTTTTTGATTTCAACTCAAACAACAGTCAATTAATTTTGACAATGTTAATATTGCTCTATTGAAATTAATACCTTTGTTTAATGCCAACAGTTTGCTCTTAACCCTTAAATGCATGATGATATATATATACATCAGTATTTTCTTTCTTACATAATTTCTAAACGGTAACTCAAACTCAGTATATTTTACTTTTAATAGGTGCTAAAAATATCTATCTTAGGTTTTGAACGCAAGCTTTCATGATATGGCAGTTCACTTTTTTAAATGTCATAATTTGACAGCTTGGCGCAATACTTTCAGATACACACTTTGGCAGTAAAATTGTAATGTCATTTTAGTGGATACTAAATAGTATTATTACGTGCTAAAAGTGATTTACGAGAGGATAAAGGTAAGCAGAACACATTATATATATATTTTTTAGAATACAATAACAGTTTTTGTAAATATCAGCGGTATAATTGTGATGTAGAAATACATCAGTATGCAAAATAGGCAAGAAATAGTATTACTGTAAGTATAACATATTTTTTTTATTTTTGACTTATTTGTTATAGATACGTAATTTATTCATACAAGTTTTATAATTGTTTAGGCCAAAAAAGGTAATTTGTACGTCATCCAATTGCGTTCGAGCTGGCGCCTCACCTGATGGTATGTAGGTGAGGTAAACGCCGAGGTGGGGCGGCTGCGTGCGGCTTGCAGTCGCTCGACGCGTGGGAGAAGAGTCAGTGCTCCGCCAGCGATGGAGCGGGGAGCCGTGAGGCCCTCTTACCTAAATTCACGCGACCGTCGTAGGTCTAGATGGCTAGATTAAGTGCGTGTTTCTTCGTCACGTAGATATGTGAATTGTGCGATATTGAACTCGTGCGGGAGTGCGGAATTGTGTAAGCGCGTCGAGTAGATATACGGTCTAGGATTCGAGCCGCGCATTCCTTGTTTGAGAGCTTCTCCCGGTTAATTGTCAAGATATCATTATAATTGTGTCGTCGCGTTTAGTGCCCTTTTTGTGTTTTGGTTGGCTAGTAAGATTAATTTGCGGGTCAACGAAGCGTATTTTGAATCTTGCGCGACGTGTTATTCTGCTACTGTTCTCACTGTGTCGGGTATCACGTGTTCGATTCTACGATAAATGTGGAATTAGGCGAATTTAAGTTAGTTAAATGTACAATGAAGCTAAGAGAGGGGAATTAGTGACAGTGAAGAAAGAAATGGTCCAGCGATGGAGCAAGCTGGAGCGATGCAGCATTTTGGGGCAGCCTGGAAATCGGCCGCTGCCGGTCGCCTACGCCTGCCCAGGCCGCACACATTTACACCTCACTGTACACTGTTCGCCAAACACCATTACACACACTCACGGCTTGCCCAAGCCTTGGAGCGAAGTTAGCTTCTGATACTGGTAAGTTCTATTGGTTTCTAGCTTTCTCCCATATAGTTTATGGTGGTAGGACATTCCACGTGACCATTTTGGGCCCGACCTACGTCTGCTCGTGAAGTCTTCTGCTGATGGGCCCCGGAGGATTTGACCCTTGCTGGAGCAGCTGTAGGCCGTAACAATAATTATTTTTCCAGAATGTCCCGTAAAGTGGCAGATAGAGACATAGAACAACTTTTGGCGGCTTTAGAAGATGGAAATTTTTCTGAGGATGGCTTGGAAGATAAAAGTGAAGATGAAGAAACCTTTTTCGCTAATGCAAGAGAAATAATTCGAGAGTTGGAATTCGAGGATGCAGAGGATCATGAAGATCCTACCTATAGTGATCCACCACTGGTTCAAGATTTGCCTTTTTTTTATAGGATAATGGTGACAAACGAGCACACAGTCCACCTGATGGTAAGTGGTTGCTGCGGCCCATAGACATCTACATCTATCCTCTGTTACAAATCAAAATGTAGATGCGTTGTCACCCGTGAGGACTAAGATGGAATGCCTCATTTCCAGTAAAAAAGGCCTCCGGCCACCTGCACTCGCCAAGCGAAACGCAGAGGTAAACCTCTACTTCACGCTGGTTTTCTGTGAGGTCGTGGTACTACCCCGGTTCGAGCCGGCCCATCCGTGCGACAGCAAAAGCTGCCGCGTGGCTCTACCACTGTTAAAACTGCCTGGCCCATCAAGTCAAATTATTATTTCATTACCCATGCAAGAAGGTCTTGAACATTATGTAGAG